TAACACTGATGCTCACGTTACCACTCGTCTCCAATCTCTCCATAATAGAATGAATACTCAGGAGGGGAAAATGGACCAGATCTCAACACAGATGCAGGAATTGACTGTCTCTTTTACATCCTTGAAGGAGCTCATGGAGAAAATGGTGCAAACTTCTCTCAACCGCCCTGATCGTCCTGTTGAAGAAGGTGCTTCCTCCGGCACCTTCCTCCGCTCCGGCCTCTCCAATCCCCTTTTCCAACCCACGGACGATTCGTTGTTCTCTCTACCGAAGGTCAAATTACTTGTGTTCGATGGAGAAGACCCTCGTGGGTGGATAACTAAAGCTGAACTCTACTTTTCCGTTCATCAAACCGCAGATTCCAACAAATTAAAGCTTACTCAGATGTGTATGGAAGGTTCTGCACTCAATTGGTTCACCACGTTGTTGTTCAAACATCCCCAATCCACTTGGGAACAATTCAAAGACAAACTCATCACTCGATTTGGTGGTTCTCAATTCCTGAACGCACATGAAGCTCTGGGCTCTCTTTTTCAGGAAACCGACATCGACACCTACATTGAGCAATTTGAGTCAATCTCTGCCCTAATTCCCAATCAATCTGAAGACCAGTCCCTTGGGATGTTCTTACGTGGTCTTCAACCAACCATACGAAACTGGGTTCGTGCTCTACGCCCCGATACCTGTGACACCGTAATGGAATTAGCTCGCCATGTTGCCACCGCCACAACCACCCCTGCCGATTCCACAACTTTCAAACGGAAGACTTCTTCATTTGGATCGGGCTATCCACCATGGAAAGGTACCTTTTCTCCGGCCCAATCCTCTCCTAAACCCACTGATCTCCTTAGCCCAACACCGAGACCCGCGCCTACTCCGGGTCAAACCATGGGTAAACCTCCAGACCCGACCCGATCTACTACTACTACACCCCGACCCAATCGCACCAAACACCTCACCAAACATGATTGGGAGGAACGCCGTCGTCTAGGGCTCTGTTTCAGCTGCGGTCAAAAGTACTCCCCCCAACATAAATGTACCGATGGTCAATTTCGTGTGCTGCTGCTTACTGATGGTGATATTGTCAATGATTCTGATGACCTTTGTCATCTCGATTCCGACCCAATAGAAGATACGCCCGTCGACGGAGAATGCCATGTGTTAGATTCTCATGGTTTCACTTCCGATCTCTCTACTACACTACGCACCTTGAAGCTTGCGGGTCAGCTCCACGGTTTCACAGCTCTTATGTTGGTTGATGGTGGTGCCACATACAATTTCATCTCCAAAACAGTAGTATCAGCTTTGGGTCTCCCCATCTCTCGCACAAAACCTTTGTCTATCAGTTTGGGTGACGGTACCAAGGTCACGATGGATGAAATCTGCAAAGGTATTCCACTGTCCATGGGTTCCTATTCTTGTACAGTTGATGCTCTTGTTTACGAACTAGGATCTTTGGACATTATTTTGGGAGTTGCTTGGCTGGGTACGCTAGGAGACGTTGTGTTTAATTGGTTGAAACAGGAGATGCGTTTTTGGTGCCAGGGTTCACATATTACATTACAGGGCATTTCTCCTACACCTCCACATCACTCCCTTAATTCATGGCTGGAACTCCATCTGAACACCATCACCGATCCTCCAGAACCCACCACTACCCTCTCTACTACACAGCAAGACCAATTAAATATTATCCTATCACAATTTACACCATTATTTCAATCTCCGCAAGGGCTTCCTACTGTTCGTTCTATTGAACACCGTATCACCTTGCTCGCGGGACAGGGTCCTATCTGTGTACGTCCTTATAGATACCCTCATCTCCAAAAAGATGAGATTCAACGCCAGGTCGAGGAGATGCTCTCTACTGGAATTATTCGCCTAAGCCATAGTGCTTTCTCCGGTCCAGTTATACTTGTCCGCAAGAAGGATTCTTCCTGGCGACTCTGTATTGACTATCGAGCTCTTAACCGTGTTACAATCCCTGACAAGTATCCAATTCCAGTTGTCGAGGAACTACTCGATGAACTTCATGGCTCTGCTTTCTTTTCGAAGATCGACCTTAAATCCGGATTTTATCAAGTCCGGATGTGCGAATCGGATGCCCATAAGACTGCTTTCCGTACTCATAATGGCCACTATGAGTTTTTAGTTATGCCTTTTGGGCTAACTAATGCGCCTTCTACATTTCAGGCCTTAATGCATGAAGTTTTCCGCCCACTTCTTCGTAGGGGTGTTCTGGTCTTTTTTGATGACATTTTAGTCTACTGCACAAATTGGGACTCCCATCTTCAACTCCTTACCCAGGTGCTCATACTCCTACAAGACCACAAATTGGTCATTAACAAAAAGAAAAGCTCGTTTGGTATCCAATCAGTTGAATATCTTGGCCACATTATTTCACAACAGGGCGTTTCCATGGATCCTCAAAAGATCACTGCTGTCCAAGCTTGGCCTACACCAAAAAACGTGAAAGGAGTTCGGGGTTTCCTAGGCCTCACCGGCTATTACCGTAAGTTCATTCCAGGGTATGGCAAGATTGCCCGCCCTCTAACTGAGTTGACAAAAAAAGACAAGTTTTCTTGGGGGTCTGAAGCACAAGCTGCTTTCGATCTTCTGAAACATACAATGACCACAGCCCCTTTTCTCACACTTCCTGATTTCTCCAAACCATTCGAAATCGAATGTGATGCATCAGGCCATGGACTTGGGGCTGTCCTCATGCAATCTCGCAAGCCAATTGCTTATTTTAGCAAGGCACTGTCTGACAAAACGCTCTCCAAATCTGCGTACGAAAAAGAATTGATGGCTCTCGTCTTAGCAATTCAACACTGGCGACCATATCTTTTGGGGCGATCTTTCACCGTTTTTACTGACCAAAAGAGCCTCCGCCATCTACTAGAACAACGCATTACCACCACTGACCAACAAAATTGGCTTGCCAAACTTATGGGATACAACTTCTCTATTCTCTACAAACCGGGACGAGATAATCGTGCTGCCGATGCTCTCTCCCGTGTCTCCGAAGCTCCAGACCTTCGCACCCTATTGTCATACCCTTGTTGGCTGGATGACGATTCCTTGTTGGAGGGTTTCGAGGCTGATTCTCAACTTAAAAAAATCGTTTCTGATTTACAGGCCAACCCTTCTTCACATCCTGGTTTTTCCCTCATCCAGGATAAACTATACCACAAAGGCAAATTGGTCATTCCAGCTTCTTCACGTTGGATTCCTCAGGTGATTGCGGAATTTCACGACAGTCCTACTGGGGGCCACTCGGGGTTTTACCGGACTTACCGACGTTTAGCAGCCCAAATTTATTGGATCGGTATGACAAAAACTATCAAAGCTTATGTCCAGGCTTGTGACACTTGTCAACGCTACAAACATTCAACTCTTGCTCCTGCGGGTCTTCTACAGCCACTTCCTATTCCATCGCGCATATGGGACGATATCTCATTGGATTTTATCACAGGCTTACCCAAATCAAAAGGGCATGCAATGGTCTTGGTAGTTGTTGACCGACTGTCCAAATATTGCCACTTTATACCTTTAAAACATCCTATCACAGCTCGTTTCCTCGCTGAAATCTTTGTCAAAGAAGTGATACGGTTACATGGTCCACCCAAGACCATCCTTAGTGACCGTGATCCTTTGTTTCTAAGTAAATTTTGGACGGAGATTTTTAAGCTACACGGGAGTCACTTGAAATTCAGCTCAGCATATCACCCGGAATCCGACGGTTAAACTGAGGTGGTCAACCGTAGTCTTGAAACATACCTCCGATGTTTTGCATCTGAGCAACCCAAGACTTGGTCCCAGTGGCTTCCATGGGCAGAATTCTGGCATAACTCTGCTTACCATGTATCCACAAATACCACTCCTTTCCATATAGTCTATGGTCGTCCTCCTCCGACAATTTTTCAGTACACACAAGGTGAGATCAGTTGTGAATCAGTGGCATCGGATTTGGCTGATCGAGACGAGGCACTATCACAGCTTAAATACCACCTTGCACGCTCCCAATCCTACATGAGGACTTATGCAAATAAACACCGACGGGACGTCGAGTTTTCCGAAGGGGACTGGGTCTTTCTCAAATTGCGTCCCCACCGTCAACAATCAGTTATTCGTCGGATCAACCAAAAACTGTCACCTCGCTTCTATGGGCCTTTTCTCATCACAACTCGTGTTGGTCCAGTTGCTTATCGCCTCCAATTACCAGATTCTTCAAAAATACACCCCGTGTTTCACGTCTCCCTTCTTAAACGTGCCATTGGGAACCATCAAGCTGAACCTTCATTGCCCCTCGGGCTCGAAATGGACTCCACCACCCCTCCACACCCACTGCAATGTTTAGCTACTCGCACTGTCACAAAAGGAGACTCTCAAGTCGAAGAATGGCTCATTCAATGGGAAAATCAAACAGTTTCTGAGGCAACATGGGAAGACGCTTTTGCCATCCAGACTTCTTTCCCTACCTTTGGACTTGCGGACAAGTCCACTTTTCACGACCCCGACATTGATAAGGAACAGGTCAATCCAACTAACAAGCCCACCAAAGAGCCCAGGCCTTGGAAGGTCTACTCACGCAAGAAGAAAATAGGACAGGTGTAAAGTGATGTCATAGTTTGTTGCATCACTAGAGAGGCACTATATATATCTAGTTGAATGTTAGAATAAGGGTGTGGAGAGAATATTTTCTGTTAGAGAGAATCGGCTAGTGGCTAGCTTGGGCAGGAAGAATAGTTATTGGCTCTCTTCTCTGACATTCCATTTTGTTATTCCTTCCATTATCGTTTCAGAAATAAATCAAGCATTCAACCATTATTTGTGATTCTATCTTATTATCAGCCATTTGCTTAACCTAAACCTTTCCTATCATTATATGACTTCCAATCATTTACAACCAAACATTACTAGAATCCAGTTTGTCAAGGTGTAATATTACTTTATTGATATCAATTTCAGATTTGTTTTTTTTAGTAGGAACTCAACCATTTTTTTTTTAAATACTCCAACCAAAAAGAGGACACGTAGACGTGAAATCAAGACATGCAACCACAGCCATCCAATATCAAACCCCTTAGGCACAATAAGTCAAACCCTAATCACTGGATAGAAAACTATTGGTCTTAGCCATCCACGAAAACGAATAAAAAAAAAAAAAACCTTAAGTCAATCACTAATCAATAGTCAGAATAGTAACCGATTGGTCTGGCCCAATTAAGTCAATCACTAATCAATAGTCAGAATGGTCTATGATGCCAATCGTCCGACCCAATCATTGCCTCCAAGAACGCCCAAACACTCATCTATGATGCCAACTGCATCATCGAGCTGGTATGTAGTAACCATAAATGGAGGCATGATACGGATGATGTTTCCTTTCCCTACAACCTCTACCCCAAGACCACGCTTCTTACATTCATCGACAAACGATTGCGCATCAACATCTAGCTCCACTGCAGCTACAAGGCCGAATGCTTGTATTCCTTTTACACGAGCGTTTCTTCCTAGTTGCTTACTTAGAAGATCTTCCAAGTATCGACCTTTTTCTGTTACGTGGTCCAAATAGCGGCGCTGAGCTACTTTTCTGAAGACATTTAAAGCCTCACCACATTCCCGAGGGATGTGCATGTGCTCGTTTTCATATTTGTGTATATGGGCATTCATTTTTTTATTCACCACAAGAGCCCCTATGTCCATACCACGGAATCGCACAATCATAAAATCCGGCTCTACACCGAGTGCTTGGTGGGCCCAAAGCCGGCCTGTCTGACCTATGCCACATTGAACCTGCAAGCAAGGTGATATCAATAAACATTATCGTATTCGTAGTAGTTAGTTTTATATATAAATTGTAGTTAGCATTTACCTCATCGAATGCAAGTAATACTCCAGATTTATCGCAAGCAGTCCGTAAAGACTGCAGGTATTGTGGTGTAAAGCTTTTTATCCCTCCATTGCCATGTATGGGCTCGACAAAGACAGCAGCTACTTTGCCTTCCGATACAAGTTTTTCTACCTCACCAATGTCCTTAGGTGCAGAACTTGTAGGAGGGATATTATTAGACAAAGAGATGTAACCACAAGTGCTATGTGGAAAAGATTGGAACTCTCCTGCATGTGTCAATGCAGCCGCAAGTGCTGCTGTTGCTGAGGGGTAGAGGTAACTAGCTTCAGCAAATGAAGCTGATGCAGCAAGCTCTTCAGCAAGAGTCTATAACAGATAAAACAACTTCATATTCTATGTTTCCACATGATAACGTTAATTATTAGGAATATATATATATATATATATATATATATATATATATATATATATATATATATATATATATATATATATATATGCAAAAGTAAGTACAAGTTTAGAGATAAAAAATAAATAAATAATAACATGTAGGAATATATATGATTTTACAAATGTATTAAATAACATACTTTTGGTATGCTATTAATTTAATAATATGTAAAATCTAATAAAGGGGTCCCTAAGCCTTTTAGTTTATAAATAAATCTTAATTTATTTTTCTTAACCAACATTTGTCATAATTATCTCAATCCATATTTATAATATAGATTGATAAAAAAACATAATAATTTAATAAAATATAATTATTAAATTACATGTGATCATTATGGTTTTACACATACACATGATAATCATGCCTGTTATAATTTAAACATAAAACAGACCTTAGAGGTGGAAAACGGATCCGACGAAATGAAATATTTGTCGACCGGAGGAAGAGCTCCAGAGGTAAAATCCAGGACGTCTCTGTTTTTTGCATGCTCAGTTCCCTAATAACAACATAAAATTATTGGGGATACACAACTTTAATATAGAATCAATTAATTATGTTTGTCCGAAAACATAAAAGTAATAATCAATTAAGATAAAAAATACACACACATTTAATATTCGATGAATCAGATCAAATCATTTGATTCCTCACTTTCTCTCTGATTTTCTGCTCACTGATCTTATACCACTTTGTTGGAATCAAATGGATAATTGCATAATTAACACACAAACTCAGTAACTTGGAAGTACTGTATACTTTATCAGCAGACTAAGGGCTGCTTTATAATGGTCAAGCCTTCCTATACAATAGGAATTAATTCAAACACAAAGAGCAAAATAAGCCAAACCTAACAGTTTGGAGAACCAACTGTGCTTCTATTAGGTTTATCTAAACTTTAATATAAGTATATCTAAAAAAAACATTGTATTGAGAACCAACCCAACCCAGGTTAGAAACCTAAACCGTTTCCACTTGCATTGGTTTCTGGAGTTGTTGGTTCCAGTTCCAAAGGTCAATAGATGACCCTGTCAATAAGGAGTTTTCAAGTTTTGGATTTCAGATCCATGTACAATATGTTGTTCTCCTACCAAGCCAAAACCTAATGTAATGGATGCTAATCAAACTATTGGAGCAAATTAATCCATATGGTAGGGAAAAAAACGACAAATTAAGACAAACTCATTATATGAAATAAATCAATTGTTTGCACACCACATCAAAATTTGTTTTGAACATTACCAAAGATCAATAAATATAACATACCTTATAGTTGAAGAGATTACCGGACGGAAGAACACCTCCCACGAAGTCTCTATGTTTTGCTTTCGTTATCAGAAGAGGCTGGTGTTTGTTGTCCATCAATTTCATAATCCCTTTTTTAGGGTTTATGTTCCGCATATCACTGTGCATTGTGGATGCAGGAAGGAAACCATTGCTTATGCTCGACATAACAACAGGCCTCATTGATTGCATGGTTTGCAAATAATTTGTGTATTGCCCCTCTCCCATCTATTCCCTGAATAAAGAGTTTGAGATTTACAGACGCCGGATTTGTCGGTAGTTTATCGCGAGGATGTGTCGACGGTGGTTTAAATTTATCGCGAGGATGTGTCGAGTTATACGAGGATTCTGATTAAAGACTTTACGCTTGGGCCGAGTTCTATTTAAGGAGAGATACCGAGGGAAGGAAGGATACTGAGGAAAGTGAAAGATGCAGTTAAACCTATCGACGGAAAATAGTGTTTTATTAATGGAAGAAGACAAGTCTAGGGAAAGTTTTTTTTTTTTTTTTTTTTTTTTTTTTTTTTTTTTTAACTTGGAAAACAAAAACTTAATTTTTTTTTTTTTAATTTTCTTTTATTTCATTCGAACTAGGGACCCGTAATATTTTCTTTTCTTTCTTTCTATCAAAAATTCTCTTCCCTTTCTTTTATTGATTTTTAAAAAAAAAAACTCAGGAACAAGACGTTAGTTTGATCCCTGGTGTGGCATTACTTTTAAAATGATTTTTTGTCTTCTTTTTTTTGAAAAAGTCAAAAAGTTTAATAAGATGTTTGAGAATTCTAAAAGTTCTTTTATAATAGCTTTTTGGTATGAAGAAAACATATCATTTTTAAAAGTCACAAAATGCTATCGTTTGATGATTTTTGAGTTTTTAAATGGTAAAAAGCTAAAAATTATTTCAAACATATTTTAAAAACATTTTTTTTTTGGCAAAAGTGCAAGTCAATAAAGCCTTTTATAAAAAAGACTTCTGAAGTAAAAAAGCTAAGCAAACACACCTTAGGTTTTGCATCCGAGATGCTGGATTTGACGGTAGTTTAAATTTATTTAGAGGATATGTCGAGATTTCGATTAAATACTTTTAGAGGATATGTCGAGATTTCGATTAAATACTTTTAGTTTGACCATTTTTTCTTGAGATTGTGTTTCTTCTTGATATTATGTTTTACAAACAACAAATGATAAACCTACTTATTCTTTTAAGTATTTTTTAATTTGTCATGTTTAACAAGATATCATGGAGTAAATCTATAATATTTACGTTGTGTTTGACACACCATAGCTAGCTGATAAACTAATTTATTTTTTAAACTTTTTTAATTTGTTATGTTTTACTCGCCAAAAAATAGCTTATAAGCTAGATTTTTTTAAAAAAAAAAACTACTTAGTCTAGTTTTTCAAAAGCTTATTTAATATATTCCAAATATATCCTTAATTAATTATAGAAAACTTATTATCTTAAATGTTTTTTATGTTATTTTAAATATTGCAACTAGTTTTTACCAAATATCATCTTTATTAGTTAGGTTATATGCTTGCAACTAGCTTTTCACCTAGCAGCTAGCTTTTTAGCTAACAACTAACTTTTCAGTTACTATGTTGTTATGGGTAGAATTTTCATCATACCATTTTATCTTGAACTTATACTAATATATCGGGCAAGTCTAAGATCTTGGATTTAATCAATATTTTAGACTGTCATCGTGTTTCTTAGATATCTTGTGCATGAATTTAAATCTTGACTAAAAAGGAATTGACCAGATCAAAACACACGTGGTCAATACCTCATAAACGTTGAAGACCATCGTAAAAGTCGGGTCAAACATGGATTAAGGAAGACCCCAAGAATGTTAGAATTTTAGTTATTATTGTTATGTATAAAAGCCTAGTTGGTCATTGTTCACACACACACTCTGACTACTGCTTTCTCTATGATTCTCTCGACACTTGAGCATATTTACATCATTTTTAGGATCAACTGGCACTTATAATTTTATTTTGGTTTAATATAAGCTCTAAGGCAGGTGATTTCATCACCTCCCAACGTTTTATGTAGCACTGAAATTGTCAAACTAAAATTTTTCATTTAAAATCGCTTAATTCTTAAAACACTTTTCGTAAAAATCTCATTTTGTTTAAATTACAAAACATAACTCCATATTCAATTAAATAATAATCCAGGATCCTAAAAAACATAACTCTTCCTCTGGTGTGTACAATCGAGCCGGTGTCGTCCCGTGATCCTGAGAAAACCTGAAACACATAACACATAACACGGTAAGCACGAAGCTTAATGAGTTCCCCAAAATACCATATATAACACATATTAGCCACTCGAGACTATAACTCAATGGGCCCTCTAGCCCTAACTCTGTGGACCCTCTGGTCCTAACTCTATGGACCTTCCGGTCCTAGCTCTGCAAACTCTGATATACACACAACATAAATCACACAGAAATAATGCAGTTCAACACATCACATACATAGCATACAAGATACTCTATCACATAACACTAGTTACCACACAAGGTAAAGTATAGTGAGAAGACTCACCTGGCAAGCAAAAAGCGGTTATCCTTACACTTGAATCTCGAACTCGCCACCGCCTAACACATAAGGCAAATATCTCTAATTAACACTCGAAATCTCAACTCTAATTAAATCGGCGATTACTCTTTCCCTTTCTAATCGGGTAGTGGGTAAAAGACCATTTTACCCCTCCATGGTCTCTATTACTTATGTTGACCAATACCCTAAAGTCAACAAAAGTCAACTCAAGCCAACAGTCAACTCTGACCAGACTCGTCGAGTGCTCAAGAGTGACTCGGCTAGTCCATGCGTGTCTTCTGACTCCTCTCAAGAGTGACTCGGCGAGTCCATGCGTGTCTTCTGACTCCTCCAAGGCCTCACTCGACTCGTCGAGTGAACCTTCCACTGGATTCGAATCGTGGGGCAACCCGACTCGACTCGTCGAGTCTTCCCATGAACTCGGCGAGTTTCCTC